GAAAAAAAAACAACCTTGAAGACTAGTCTTGAGGCACTCCTCCCCTTCGTTCTTTTCCAACATAGTTTTGGAATGCGTCCACTTATTGCGGTTTTTCTAGCATTTGTAGTGAAACGAATGATGGCGGTGATGGCGATCTTATCAAACCGGAAGTAGTGCAACCGGATGATGAAATGGACGGCGCTAATGCAGAAATCGATGAAGATATGGACGACGTTGAGGAAAAACCGATGAGTTCCAACGCAACGGATTCCGAAGATCATCTCATGAGCGATGTCTCTGGTATAATTTTTGTTTATTAAATTTTCCTCGATTAAGGAAAAATTATTTTGTATTTTAAAGAGGCAATAAACAGACAATTAGAGTATAGAAAGCGCCATTATTTTCAAGTGGACAAGTGACTACAGCATATTCAAAATTTATAATTTGCCATCAGTTGCTTGCGTTATTATTTTGACCAACTGCAGTTCATTGGCGTGGTTCCCCACTTAGGCAGCTAGCAAACATTTCCAGTTGCTTTGACCGATGCTCCCCATTGGTTGGTGTAGTCAGCCTGTTGGCGATCCTGACTGTTGCTTTGTTTCCCAAAAGGATTATCAATTGACTGTTACAGCCAGTTATTTATTATAATTGCTGATTTTAGAGAATTTAAACTGAAAAGGGGCACGAGGTAGGAGAGGGAGGAGAAGGCAAGACACGGGCGAGAATAAGTAGGAAAAAGTTTTGGGATTTAACTTGTGCTACATTTGGGCGCATTCAAAAAAATTGGCTGCATTCGCTCGCATGATCAACAGGAGATTCACAGTGTCACTGAAATATTATATTTTCCTCTTTTTTGTGCGTGAACTGTTTGTCCGTACATCAAAGAACACATGCAAAAACATGGACCCTAATAAACCCGTTGTAGTTCTAGTGAATCTGTGCACCGGAGGGAACAAACAAAGTTACATTTCTTAAGCTTACTGCAATGAAAATCTTTCTCTTTCAAAGTTGTTCATCCAAATTTCCTCAAAATCAATGAATTTTATTCCTTAAACGCCACAGTAAATGAGGTTATTTTGGCTTTATTACATGGATGACTGCGCATAATGAATACATATTATGAAAAATGCACAGTACGGGCAGCGGATGCTAACTAGAGAAATCATTCTTGGGAGAAATCCAGGCGTCAGGCATAGCTGTGCTAGGAGTTTGGGCCAGAAGGTCCTGACGTGGATGCGCCGGGTGCATGGCTGCACAGCACAATAGTACCAAAGACACGGACGCGAAATCGTCATACCGATTATTGGAGGTACTCCTGGTTAATTTGGCAAACTCACTGTTCATGGGTCTCAGTTCATTAGTCCTCCACGCTTAATGCAGCTTCCATATTGCTTGAAATTACAGGTGAATCGCAGGATTCTCCAACATCCGGTAAAAGCAGTATCGACGAAGCTAGTGGTTCATCAGGTGCAGAGCAGGGAAGTGATAAACGAGAGCGAAGACGTAAGGCTGGACTAAAGCTCAATGAAATTGCTGCGCGACTTCATGAGAAAAATTCACCGGAAAGTCCACATTCAGCTGATGTTAGAACCGAAATAAAATGCGAGGTAGATTTTTTTCATTTTTTACTTACAAGACTGAAACGATGAAAATGCACAGCTTATAGGAGCGTTCCAGCAACATCACTAGCACGAAATACCCACAATGGTTGTCCGGATGGTTAAATTTTTGGACCTATGTAAATTTGAAAGACTTAATAAATCAGCAGTTGCGAAAATGCATAGACAATGCATTAGCAGTCAAGAAATTACGAAATAGCAGATTCAGCAAAGAATAAGAGGAGAAGGAATAGCAAAGGATAAGAAGAATCTTGGGATAGGGAT